CAAGGAGGCGCAGGACAAAAAGGAGGCCCAGGCGGCCAAGAAGGAGGCAAAGGCCCAGGAGAAAAAGGATGCCCAGGTAGGCAAGAAGGCGGCCCAGGAGAAGAAAAAGGACAAGAAGGAGGGTCAAGCGAAGGAGGAGGCCAAAAAGGCTGAAAAGGCCAAGCCTCTGGATGAGGCTCGTTTCCAGTAGCCTGTTCGTGAGTGCCCTGTTCTAGCTGCAGAACAACAAACGCTCAGGCCCCAATGGCGAAGAGGCAGAAGGTGGCGGGGGTGGTCCCAGAGGGGGAGGCAAGTATTTCAGTCTGAGCCAGCACGTAAATCAGATAATCAAGAAGCATGCTACCTCCCAAATCAGGTGAAAGATGCCGAGAAGGCAAAGACAAAGAAGGACGATGGTGAGGTGAGTGCGCTGTTTCGGGAGTAATGTCAATCAATAAACAAGCCATGATGTTTTGCCCAGGCGAGCACCGCTTCGAGATCGGCAAAGGAGGACTCGCTGGATCGGACACTTGAGGAGCTCTCATTGCTCACTTGATCAGGAGGCCGCTGAAAAGAAGGTTACAAAAGATGAGGCCCCCCAACCCTGAGCCCAGTGTTTCGGATGAATGTGCACGATGGCATTTGGCAGGAGCCCCTGCCGATGCCGAGGTGATGCTAAGGCCAGCAGGACTCAGATTCAGATTCAGAGAGCAATATTAGTTCAACTCCCCTGTATCAGGAGACAAGCTCAAGTGATGCAGATCTGACGAAGCAAGGCAGGAATCAGACCCCTTTTTCTGTGTAGAATACCATTTATCCCCTGTGCCAGGTGACGGTGGCTGTGGCTGACAGATCAGATGCAATGCATGCGCCGGCCAAAACAACTCTGAGTCTGCAAGCAGCAAACTTGAGCAGCGATGAGTTTGGATTGCAACAGAGTGTTTTCTGCAAATGATGGTGGCAGGCTGCTTCGGAAGACGATGACCGCAGGGATCTCAGGAGTTACAGAAACAGCTCGAGAGTTCAAGACGCTGGCGAAAGTGTCCCACTATATTGTGTCGTGAAGGGCGCTGGAGAAAGTGTCCGTTCATGGCAATGATAATACAACTTAGCTCGTGTGAAATCATGTCAGAGCTGTATGTTTGAAACTTCGAACTTTCAATAACAGAGCTAGCTGCTAGCAGCAGTAGGGGTTCAATAACATAATTAGAATGCTCATACTCTCAGACCACATTTGCATGTCGACTCCAAGGCTGGCACCTCGTGGTCCACGAGGTGGGCAAGCAGGTCCTGCGAGGAGGACTGTTAAGCAGGATTTGTAGTTTGGATGTTGGCTTGAGTTTCTTCGGTGGCTAATCATAGAAGATCGGAACTATGTGGTGCGTAGACATCCAGTGGTGGTGCTGCAGGCAAAGATTTAGCAATTGAGTTTGAGGCTCAGGCTCCTATCATCTCGGATCCTCAAGGGCCTCTATGGTATAGAAGGGGGTCGTATTATGATTCAAGAGATTTCGTCCTCGATTCTTTGCTCCAGTTTTAGCTCGCCCTGCTTCAACTTGAAAGCTCGACCTGAAAATAAAAGCCGTTGGGTTAAAGACCGAATTGCATCCCATCCCCAACCCTTGGAGCTTGTAGGAGAGTGGAGAAGTGGCAGGAGATGCGGAGGGAGACGGGGCAGGTGGAGCATAGGAGGGAGAGGAGGGAGGAGTGGGGAGGAGAGGGCGGGTAGGGCATGAGGTGGGATAGAAGGGCAGGGAGAGGAGGGGGTTGGCGGGGGGGCGGCAGGAGGATGGGTAGGCTGTGTGGGGAAGGAGTGGGGAGGGGAGGGAGGTCAGGTAGGGTATGAGGTGGGATAGAAGGGCATCCAGCATGTGGCACAGTGTGAACTGGGAGAGATTTGGGGGAATGAGAGCAGGTCAGGACCGAATCTCACAGTCAGCAGCACACAATTTGGCACTCTCACCAGCACCTTTGAATGCACTTTCTTCAGCGCACACATGTGTCGTCGTCAGGCACTATCACCAGCGCCATGATGCACTTTCTCCAGCGCATGTCGTCGTCAGCGTCATCGTCCTGCACTGTCACCAGCGCTCGTCGTGCACTGTCACCAGCGCTGACAAAAGCCCTGCCAGTGATGATGTCGTTCACCGCGAGGTCGAAACCTGAGTGCCTGCAGGGCCCTGACCAGGAATGCGGGGGGAAGGTCTTAAGGTCTTAAGGTTGAGCAACTAGGGAATCTAGGGCATCTTAGGGATTTAGGGTGGGTCTTAAGGTTCAGGGTCTAGGGCATAAGGTCTTATACCCAAATCAAACCTCTCAGGGATTTAGGGTGGGTCTTAAGGTTCAAGGTCTAGGGCATAAGGTCTTATGTGCAAATCAAACCTCTTAGGGATTTAGGGTGGATCTTAAGGTTCAGGGTCTAGGGCATAAGGTCTTATACCCAAATCAAACTTCTTAGGGATTTAGGGTGGGTCTTAAGGTTCAAGGTCTAGGGCATAAGGTCTTATACCTAAGTCAAGCCTTTTGGGTCTGGGTTCCAAAGCTTTAGGGTCACTTAACGCCAAAGCTAGGGTGGATGCAGGACTTATTAATAATGCCGATATAAGATATCTCAAAATGTTAGCTATCTCGTTTGTTCGATAGTTTGCTTTTTTTTGCATATTTTCGCAGCGAGGGAGCAGGCAGTGTTGTCATTGTCCAAGTACATCAAAGGAGCCAAAAACAGACAACACAAAAACGAAAAGAACGCCAGACAAAACGAAAATTGGGACTAGCAATTACCACAAGTCCTTTGCTCCAGCCTGAAAGCGGTGCATAATTGCATAATTTCTACAGAGAAAGTCATGTGCTCCAGTGCAAAGGTTGCTCGAAAATATTGCTTCTTAACTTCTTAATGTTGGGTGCTTTTTGTTTTTTCTCCTCCTTCCCACGGGCGAAGTATTTAATTTGAGCCACAGCTATAAAAAAAAGGCCCTGGCCACCCGCACTGTCTAGTAGGGTTTAGGGATTCGAGAGTGTAGGGTTTAGGGGCTTTTTTTTGCTGACGGACGAGTCGCTTGAGCCACAAAAGACCCCCCAGCCACCATACCCGACAAACCCAAGCCACCAGCTCAATGCTTCAAACACCCCCCACAACCCCCAGACACACAAACCAAAAACAACAAAAGACACAAAGACCCAGTCTATGGCCCAGCAAGTCTTTTGACAGAACACTGGGGGTGGTGGCAGTGGTGGAGGTGGTGGGGGTGGTGAGGGCGGTGAGGGCGGTGTGGGCGGTGGGGTCGGTGGGGGCGGTGTGGGCGGTGGGGGCGCGGGGTCCGGGCACACATTGGCAGCCTTTCAATACTCTTTAAACACCTATACAAATACAGCGGTTAACTCTTTTGACAGAACACTGGGGGTGGTGGCAGTGGTGGAGGTGGTGGGGGTGGTGAGGGCGGTGAGGGCGGTGTGGGCGGTGGGGGCGGTGGGGGCGGTGTGGTCGCGGGGGGGTCCGCGCACACATTGGCAGCCTTTAAATACTCTTTAAACACCTATACAAATACAGCGGTTAACTCCCCTGACAGAACACTGGGGGTGCTGGCAGTGGTGGAGGTGGTGGGGGTGGTGAGGGCGGTGAGGGCGGTGAGGGCGGTGTGGGCGGGGGCGGTCTGGGTGCGGGAGGATCAAGCGGTGAGGGCAGTGAGGCCGGTGGGGGTGGTGAGGGCGGTGGGGGCGGTAGGGGCTCGGGCGGGTCCGGGCATACTTGGGCAGCCTTTAAATACTCTTTAAACACCTACAAATACAGCGGTGAAAGACTCTTTGATCAGAGCGGTGGAGGCGGTGGAAGCGGTGTGGGTGCGGACACCTCTCGGGATATCACGGGCGCCGCCCGCAGGGGTCGGCGGACAAATACAGCGGTTAACTCTTTTGACAGAACACTGGGGGTGGTGGCAGTGGTGGAGGTGGTGGGGGTGGTGAGGGCGGTGAGGGCGGTGTGGGCGGTAGGGGCGGTGGGGGCGGTGTGGGCGCGGGGGGGTCCGGGCACACATTGGCAGCCTTTAAATACTCTTTAAACACCTATACAAATACAGCGGTTAACTCCCCTGACAGAACACTGGGGGTGCTGGCAGTGGTGGAGGTGGTGGGGGTGGTGAGGGCAGTGAGGGCGGTGTGGGCGGGGGGCGGTCTGGGTGCGGGAGGATCAAGCGGTGAGGGCAGTGAGGCCGGTGGGGGTGGTGAGGGCGGTGGGGGCGGTAGTGGCTCGGGCGGGTCCGGGCATACTTGGGCAGCCTTTAAATACTCTTTTTAAACACCTACAAATACAGCGGTGAAAGACTCTTTGATCAGAGCGGTGGAGGCGGTGGAAGCGGTGTGGGTGCGGACACCTCTCGGGATATCACGGGCGCCGCCCGCAGGGGTCGGCGGATAGTCCACCATCTAAGGTGCGAAGAAGATGCTCACACAGCTCCTAGACACCGCCCAGACCATTCTCGAAGAGGAAGGTGTTGAGAGGAGGCTTTTCAGTTTTCACGAGCGTCGAACGAAACGCGACTTTGTAGTATGTTTTGCCCACAGGCTGTGACCCGAACTACGAGGCTGCTGCGTCATGTGATTCGAGCGCTCTGCGCTGCCTGAGGCGATTTCCTCGCGCAGGGTTCTATTCTAATTACTTGCAAACCTCCCCATTGTCTCACCGGCAGTCTGAGGTTTCTCACTGTGAGAGCAGATTCCCTCATCTGCGGTTTTAACGTTGGGGCTTTCGCAGGGTCCTGAGGACCCGTTTGCAATGCGTCACCATCGAAAGTCAACTGCCAAGCAGTGCAGACAGCGAGTGTGGGTGTTCAGTTGCGCAAAGACTTTCCATCGCAGGCACCATGAAGAAGTGGTGCCAACACTTTAGCACCACCTTTGCGGCAATGAAGGAGAGTAGAGCAGACATGGGGAGCGCCCGTGTGCAAACATTGCATGTGCCTGAGCCGGAGCGATGGCAGTCCATGGCAGTCCTTGAGAAAAGGAGAAGGTCAAAGTTGTCCATGCAGGTGCCATTCCGCAAGCCGGACTTCTCTCCACCACCTCCTGAGCCACCAAGGTGATGTAGTGCTTCTGTCCTTCAGCACGGTGGGATCCCAAACCACTGCAGCCGCACAGGCCTTCACAAGCAATGCCAATGACGACGCTGTGGCAAATGCCCATGCCAGTGCCACCCTCGGCCTTTGGTCAAGACTTGAATCGTGTCCCGCAACCATGCGGCCTGAGGTGCTCTACACACCCAGCCCACTCGATCTTGGGCCAATGACGAAGGTGTGAGAGCTTAGGCTGGCCAGATCATCAGATTAATTTGGGATGTGTGTTCCCAATCGTGTACAAGTAGTTGGTTGTGGACTGACAAGCAACACAACAGTTTTGTGGCCCGAGGATGTTACAATACATAGGTGTGCACGACATGAACATGGCCGTGAATGGTTTGCCACATGATAACAACTCTAGTTGTGGACTATTGCTTGCTTAGAGATGCTGCAAACCACTGACGGCCTCCGTAGGTAGGACCGGCCAGTTGGCCAACTTCTTAGCGCTGGCGTAGCTGAACTGATGCCCCAGAATCCCTGAAAGGCTTTTGATCGCTTGCCGGCAGCGGTTTCAGACTTCAGGGTTTGGGCTTCTCGGTCAGAGCTAGGAGGTTTCAAGTTGGGAACACGGGTTGGCTCATGCCAGGCCAGGCCCCGTGATCGTAATTTCATTCGAATGTTTCGTAGAGTGATGGATATGCATGGGATTGGACTCAGCCTGCATTTTCACAGCCGTTGTCGGCAAAGGATCTGTTCAAATACGGCACAGTGCCATTGTACTCTTAGGAAAGACTGGCAGGCTTTGTCGCGCCAATAAAAAGCCATGTGGGGTCCCTGAGACGATTCTGTCATGTCAGTCATGGCCTTCGCCCATACCGTGGTAAGGCTCTTAGCAGCCCGACGTTGCTGGAATCTCAAAATGCAAATGCCAGTTTAGACTCTAGACTCTAGATGTTTACGGCCCTGGAAGCAAGAGAGCAGGGAGAGCACCACTGGCGCATCCACGAGGTTGTACCTCGGACAACCTTAGAATCCTAGATTTATACTTCAATCCATCCAGAACAACTTTGCAAGTCTTCGCAACTCTTCAAGCAGTCTTAGAGATCCGAGTCTTGTGCAATGAATCCGGATGTGGTTGCAGAGGCCACACACAGAGTGGCGGATCGTGGCGTCGTAGTCGCTTGCTATGCCTCGCTGGCCCAGTAAGCGTGCGAGACGCTACAGCCCCCCCTTGTGGCACGACAGGTTGTCCGAAATGGCTTTTGGGATCAATCGCGGCGGTGGAAACGAGTGTTTGCAAGTGAGAGCGGCAGCACAAACCGGATCAGTTGGTCGGTGCTCAGATAAGCGCCCAGACAGCGACGTCTTGTCCAGTCGTCACATCATATGTGTCAGATGCCGTATCGGCGGAGCGGACATGTCCGCGTTGCTGCAGGGATGAAGAGACGCCGACAGCCAGGCAGACATGGAAGAGAGACAGATTTTCCCGCCAGGCTTTGGCAACTGCAGCTTTGGGTGCTGAGGCAGACAAGAGTGAACCTCTTGAGGCGAGGGCGCGAGGGCTTGCAAATGCTTAGCGGTTCTATTTGGACGCACCCTGCATCGATTTTTCGGGTTGACAAAGTCTCAGCTTGCAGCAGCCTTCGCAGCTGGACATTGCCAGAGGCCAGAATATTGAGCATCCGATTCTGGGAAAACGATTCGGTAGCGCGGCCAATGAATGTGTAGCTCAGCCGAACACTCGATTTGATGACCCGGACAACTTAAACCGATGGGAGCATGGCCAAGACTTGGACTTCAACTATCAATTGACTGATTCGCTTTGTTGTTTTGAGGTTTCGGCCCCTATCTTTAGCTTGCTCTCCTTCTCTCATCATGCTGAACCATCCTGAGTGGCATGGGACCCTGAGACGCATCATGAAGTAAGGTTGCGTGAAAGCTTACTGAGGTGATTCTTTCTCGCCTTGATGAGTCTAAGCGCCAAACGCTTCTGCCTGGGCAGTTCCCTGCGGAGGCTCCAGCATTCGATTCCATCAATGCAGTTGTGTTCGTGGTGGTAGCATGTTCTTCTCACGTCGTTGCACGCCTTCATGAGGCATGCGAATTGTCGGCCTGCGCCGTGAGTCGCATGCCACGGAGGATCGACTTGCAAAGCATCCGCTTCTCTTGGGATACCGGGATGTGCCGTTCCGTCCGAAGTGTTTCATGGTTGCTGGTTTGGGGAAGGGCACAGCGTTCGTCATACCAGGCACTAGTACCATGCCATGACACAGCGGGGTCGCATGTTGATACAGAGCTTTACAATGGCTTCAATACAACGTCATGCAGATGGTCATGAAGTAGAGTCGGTGTCGTGTCTGAGACGGTGACTTACCTTTAGTTAGTAGGGAATGGAGGAATGGGGTACAATTTGTTTACTACCATTACTACCATTCTTCCATTCCCTACTAACCTGTGCCAGGCAAGCAGGGAGCGGTCTCGGACTCGGCCTGGCAAGACACCCAAAGCCCTTCTCTCCGGCCCGCACCACGGGTGGCGCCTTCCGGAGCTCAGGCGGGTCCCAAGTGTTCCCATGATGCGATAGTATTAGTATTAATATTAGTATTATAGTATTAGTATTAATTCTAGAATTAATTTTGGTATTGATAGATGAATAAGCATGACCATGTTGGAGCTTCGGTCTGGTACTGCTGGGTCAGGCTTGGTGTCTCAGTGTTCCACAGCCAATTCGTTCCTTTTTGACGGGTTTTGGATTGGAAGTAAGGAACGGTGAAAAACATGAGTGGAAGGGAGGAAGCCATGAAGCAAGCAAGAAGATAGAACAAAGCAGGAAATTATAAGGGAATTAAAATGGGATGTCACTGTTCTAGTTGTGCTTATGTGCATTATTGGGCCCCTAACATCCTTTCTTTGCAGCCACATCGCTGCCATACGGGACTGTGCAGGTCATCTTCCCCAACGTGACCTTACCTCCTGGGAGCAGCAGAAAGCCATCATGCCAGCGTTCCAAGTTTGTACTTCGACGAGCCCCCTTTGCCGTGCGCTTTGCAGCTGTCAGAATTGTGGCATAGGCCTGCGAGAAGTTGGAGCCAGTCCGTTGCGAGCTCAAGAATCAGCAGGTCGAAGGTTTCGCAAAACAGAGAGCGTCAACCCTGCGCAGCCTATCAGGGCCCATAACCAGTCTTTGTTCCATGCCTTCAAACTCCAAGTGTGTTTTCGAGGCCATGACTTGCGTTGTGCGCGATGGCGTCGAGACCTTACTAAGCTGCTATGTGAAGGGCAACATGTGGAAATCTTGACTGTAAGTTGGAAGCCTCCCTGCTGGTGAAATCAGAGCCTGCTTCTTTCCGAGTCCATGTCAGCCCCCGCATCACCGCAGCGAATGCGATTCGCACAAACGCAAAGCCGGTTCCTTAACCGTCGACAAAAGCAGCAAAAAGGATGGGGTAGCGAGTCATGCAGACATCCTAGAGGTCACGGCTCTTTTGCTACTCGGCCGGTTGAGGCAGCCTCTACCCTGGAGCTTCTGTCAACTTGAGCTGAAAGTCACGTCTGCTGAATGCCACATGTCAGGCACAAGGCTTCTTCGATGATGTTCGGGTGCTGAGGCTCGCGTCAAGCATACCTGGTCTCTGGACTTATCATGTTGCTGCTTTTGTCAACAGGCCCTACAGCATACTGCAACTTGCTTGCAGGAGCCATGGGGTCGTGGACAGCCAGCAAGGTGCGTAACACCAGTGTCTTGCCCATGCTCAGCTGATGTTTCGATCTTCTCTGGCATAGGCTCGAAGCTGCACCTGGTCGCTTGGTAGCAAGCGGAGAAGTGTTCCTTAGCTGGTGCCGTCCAAGTCCTACTGTCATAGAGGCATCGCCGGAGCGGCAGTGCCAGAATCAATCGGCTGAGACGAGGTTGGGGACGGTGCCAGTGAACATATGCTGAGAGAGGATAGGATGTGTGAAATTTAGCAGGAGATCCCATCACTTACAGCATGGACCTTCAGCCGGAGGTCCGTTTGCCGGGCGTCCAACCCCAAGGTGCACACTGCCTTTTTTCTGGAGCCGAGTTTGTCTAGCTGTCCATATCCGACTGTCTGTTTGCCATGCCGTACGTACCTGGCCGTGCATGGCATGGATGTATGCATGGACGTATGCATGCACGTAGGCAGGCAGGCACGCACGCAGCTGGCAGGCAGTCACACTGGCAGGCAAGCAGGCAGACAGGCAGGCAGGCATGCATGTGTGCACATCTATACCTGCGCTTGCCATTCGACCAAGATGACTCCCAAAAAAAGAAGAACAACATCTCCCGACCACGACGGCGTATGAGATTTTCCATCCTAAAAATCTCCCCGATCCAGATGACTACGATGAGGCGTCAACTTGCCCCCCTTTAGTGTGTACTGCTTGCTACTACTACTGCATACTCCTACTACTACTACTACTACTACTACTACTGCTGCTGCTGCTACTACTACTACTACTACTCCTACTACTACCACTACTACTACTACTACTACTACTACTACTACTACTACTACTACTACTACTACTACTACTACTACTAGTACTAGTACTACTACTACTACTACTACTACTACTACTGCTACTACTACTACTGCTACTACTCCTGGTACTACTACTGCAACTACTATGACGACGACGACTGCTTCCACCACCACTCCTTCCACCAGCACCAGCAGCGGCACCAGCAGCACCAGCAGCACCAGCAGCACCAGCAGCACCAGCAGCACCAGCACTAAAACCAGCACACAACCACCAACATGTCGCGCCAACGTGAGGGCGAACATGCCACGACAGGAAGGCAATAACAGGCGAAGAAACCATGTCCAGAAGTAGGAATATTGGTCAGTGCTCATGTATGTATGATGTATGTATGTACATGCGTATGGCGTATGCATGTACGTGTGTATGTATGCACGTATGTGCGTATGTATGGATGCATGTATGTATGTATGTAGGTATGTATGCGCGTATGTATGCAACTATGATGTGATGAGGTTGATTGGCCATGGAAATTTATTATGTATGTCGACGCAACTGTTTGTGTAACTACGTATGCAATCATGTCTGTAGCTATATATTCTAGAAAGGAAGGGAACGGGAAGGAGCCGTATGTCCAGCCTAGGTCGAGCGGTTCACGACCGCAGCAATGCGGCGAAGGCATGGCGAAGCAAAGCAGATGCCGCCGTGCGCGGCTCACGAATTTGTCTGCCAGACCATAAACATGCACCTTCAGTGTCGAAAGAGCCCAGGCAGTCTCCTACAACTACCTTGGGCCTGCTTCAACCGGGTCTACCACCTAGGACCTGGCACATGATTGAGCAGTTCTCTTACATGCATGATATGCGACTAAGGCCAGCAATGCCTGAAATTCATCCGCTTTGGAGCTGACTTCCTCCCGTGCTCGCTGCTTTTCCGATGGCAAAGCCATGCTCTGCGGCTTTGGAGCATAGGTGTTTAGATGCATTTAGTGACACCTGAGCTACGTGCGCTGTGCGCAGTCCAGTCCGGCCCTGGGCTTCTACGGGCCTGTGTGTGTAAGGCAGTGCAAGGAAGAACCACTGGGCAAAGTGCATCCTTCGAGTGTGCCTTCTGAGCACTTCTCGCCGATGATTCGATGGTCTGCTTGTGTGCTTGTGTTTGCTTTTCTCCGACAGCTTGCGGGTCTCTCAGACTCGAACACATGGGCAGCAGGATGATTGAAGCGGTTGCTACCAGTGCGAAGTCTGCGCGCACACTAGCTTAGGTCCGTCAAGGTTGAAGCCCGGATTCGATAATATTCGATATTGGTGTGGCTGCAAGGGTGTCACGACCATGAGATTTCCTGAGTCCTTGTATCTGCTTTCGGGACCAGCTCACAGCGCCTACAGTCCAAGCTTGGGTTTTCGCCTTTGTGCCACATGCGTGGGGTGGTGAAGACCACGTTTTCCTCGGCCGAGGTCAGCGGGGGGGGGGGGGGGTTGTCGTAGGCGGATGTTTTGTTCTGCAACCAAGGGCCATGGCTTTGGCCCGCCAGCTGCGGCGAAGCCTGGCAGGCCCGAGTCCTCCCGGGAGACGCAAGGGCAGCTCGAGAGCTCTCAGGGCTGGGTGCATACTCCTTGTGCCTCCTGGGCATTCTGCTCGGCTTTTGCCTCAGAAGCCATCGCTTCTTCCCCATTCAGATTCCCTCCTCCACTGCCGAGCAAAAAGAGAGGTCCCTCCGGACATCTTGGAGGAATGTTTGGGCCCTTCATTGTCCGAAAGCTCAGTGCCAAGACGGCCCAAGAATTGAATCAGACGGGCTTTCGCCTCCTTGAGGCTGTGGTCTCGATCACTCTGGTCTGCGCAAGTTGGACCTCAGAGAGCCCACGTATCAATGGCTCCAAGTGCCAAGTGTTTGTATGTGGCTGAAGGCGGAGTCTATGTCGTTCACATCATGAGCAAGACATTCTCCTCGCAAGAAAGTGCAGGCCCGCCACTTAAAATGTTCGATGTTTCTTCTCGCCTTCTCGAGTAGTGACGTGTCGTTGCCAAAGGTCAGCATGTGGTTCTGGCTTTCGTGTGGCTGATAGCTGTGGTCTCAGTTCCACTTCCACAGGGCATCTGCACTGCTTGAAGTAGAAAAGCACGGGCCTAGGTCTTGGCCGTGATGCTCGCAGTGGGCATGGGTCCGACACAGGTGGCCGTGGAGCTGAACCTCGCCGAAGACCCATCAAGAAACCGACTTGAGACTTGCTTGGGTGCTGGGTCTCTCCATGTCCTTCAGGTTTCAGACCTGCATGGGGTCAGTGTTTGTGCAGGGCACCCAGACCGCGGTTGCAGCCTCTCGGGCCTTCGCAGTGCACTGCAGAACTGGAGCGACTGGAGCGACACTGGTGGTGGGGCAACGGGCTTAGCTTAAGAACCCCCCATTCCGCCACCCCTGTTGTACCATCCTATCCTACCCTGGTCCCAAGGTTTTTTTCCGAGATGGCACAACGCTGCTCGGAGACAGCACCTGGCACAGCTGATGGCGATGGGGTATGCCAGGTATGCGTTGTGCCTATACGAGTGCCATGTGCAACATCATCGCCCAACTAGGCAGAGAAGAGCTGCCCATCTCCCATGTGACGGTGGATAGATGTGACTTTCAAGGTTTCCGCCCGGCGCCTAGTTGACCAGACTATCGCGCAAACCAGACCCTGGCACAACTGCTGCAACTCGCTGCAAAGGAGTGCTGCTTCCTTCAGCCTTCCATGCTGTCTGCAGCCAGACCAGTCCGACGCAGAGTTTTTGCAGACAGCTCTTCATGCACTCCGAAGTTTGCTTTTCCCCTTTATTTGACACACACGCACACGCACGCAGACACACATCATGATGCCATGGATGTGCCGTTCCTCCAAATTGCGGATCCAGGCCACGTTTCTGTTTTCAGAGTTACGAGAGTCATTCCAGACGATGTCCCACAAGCTTCCGAAGCGCATCCCAAACCCAGCCGACCCAGCCGCTTTTGTGGTTTGCAGGCCGCGTCAATGCAGCCCTGAACTGCCGGGAGTTGCACTTGCAAGGCTCGGATTGCTCCAACGTCGAAGAGCTCGGCAATACAAGCACGACAATGAGACATTTATAGGCGGTTGGTTGAGACGATATGCACGCAGGCACCACGCTGCTTCGGGTGGTGCATGAGACCCAGGAGGCGGGCGCAAGCGGTGCCCAGTCGGAAACTATTTAACCGGAAGTAAACACTTTACCGCATCTCTTTTGCCAGGCATCTGCATGTCAACATTTGGGTTGCAACCATTTAAACACGCATGGCTCCAGCCTGGCCTCATGTCTTGGCAAGACCCTCCTCTATTTTAGCTGCTCGTGCATCCTGGAGCCATCAGACCATGAGCTCGGAGACTTCGCACTTCGAAAGAGCTGCGGATCTGTCTCCTGCACGACCCAACAGATAGAGGACCATCCCTCCAGCTGGGGGGCTGACGGCGAGGCATCTAGAGACAACGGCGAAGCCGTCAACTCCGCTCTCCAAGCGCCCGGCGTCTGCTGCGAAAGGCATCATGACAGCCGCCAAAGGGACAGCGGCGAAGTCAACGCCTGACACGTCCAGAGCTGCCATGCAGGCTCGTTCGCAGAGCAAGGAACCACCGTGAGAGATGCCATGGGCATTCGCAGGGGGCCACAAATTGAGATGCTGCACGAGGGGGCAGCTGAGTCTCCTTTAGAAGGAGGCAAGTCCGTAGAAGAAGTGGGACGTCAGACCGTAGTTCCGGCCCGTAGTGCCGGCTCCTCCTAGCCAAGCAGTGGCAAAGCCGAAGCAGATATGCAGGGACTACTCACATCAGGAGCGGCTGCTGCTCTGGCGAAGCTGACAACAAGAAATGTGTCCAAAGAGATATCAGCACGGCTATCCGAAGCCCATGAAAGAGAGATAGCGCATATGAAAGAAGAGCACAAAGAAGGAAAAGAGCGGGAGCTAGAGGCTGCAAGAAAGCTGGGTAGTGCGCAAGCAAAGGCAGCGTGTTTACAAACGCAGCTAGACGAGCTAGGATCCGAACGAAGTCGAAAAGACTTTTGAAGCAGGGACTCTCATTGGTCAGCTGTCGCCGACCTTGGCTGCATAGCTGCTGGGCGATCAGCCTGCCCGGAGACTCCTTATGGATATCTGCACCAGTTCAATTCACCAGTCGAAGTTCGAAGGTACTACGGGACGTTGCCCCTTGGGCAAGCCACCCGACTCATATGCATGAGTGACAGATTCTATCCGGATAGCTATCTTGGACCACCCTTGCATTCCTACATAACATGGCTTTGCCTTTGTGAGTTTGTTAAACGAATGCTACCGGACACTGATATTTGTAGCAGTCCTGCCCTCGCTTGGGTTCCAGGGGTAGACGGTAGGCGGCTGTTGTTCGTTGTCCTGACACGTGTTCGGTGCCGAGTGAAATGTGGCGCAAGCTCGCTGTGTTCGATGTTTTCAACATGACTTGCCGAGCGGTGTTTTGGCGCCGCTTTGCCAGGAGTTGCAGCCGGACTCAGTAGACCAAGCCTCAGGAGGGCTGCTGTGGGAGGCCTGGGTTTTGGCATGGGCTTCGACAGAGCTATCGGAAATTCGGCCCTGAGGGCGCCCTGGATTTGGCACGGCACCTTGCGGAAGGTGGCCTTCAGCCGAGGCGCAGATCCGTTGCAAAGTAACGAACGTTTTCGCCTTGTTTTTGCTGTGTCCTTGAGCGCAGGAGGGAGCCTGGGCCTGAGCCTGGCTCCGACTCTGGATGCTCCCGGGGCCGCGTGCTGGAGCTGGGGGCCGGGCATGGCCTTCCAGGTTTGTTGGCCCTGCGGCACGGCTACCGCGTGGACTTCCACGACCTCAGCGCCTGGGCCGCAGTAAAGCCCTACTGGGGTTTCTGCGCTTTACTACAGTAGTGATTCGAGTAGCTAGTGCTGGGGCGACGGTATCTCGCGAACACGACTTGCGGCTGGGGCTTGGACTTGCGAGACGGAGAGGGCTTCAAGGTGTCTGCTGTCATGTTAGCCATACTACCGGAGAACATTGGATGATCCGGCGGTGGAAGATGGAGAGCAGCATTCGCCGACGGAATTGTCAGAACATGATACGCTGGCCAGCGAAGATCTGAAAGACGTAAGCTGTTTGTTGCTGTGGTCTCGCAGACTCTGCGTCTCCGGGGTGAAACCTAGGTGAAAGCACACTGCGCCACATCACTGCCGCCAACTGTGCTGCCAATGACATCCAAATCGGCGGGCCGGATGAAGAAACAGGAGTGATTGCTCGCTAGTTTGCCTCCGACCTGCGAGCCGAGGCCCTTATATTACATGTTGCTGGTGTTTGCAGGAAAGGATTCTATTCCACCTGCTCGGTTCGTTGCCGGTGACTGGAAGGTGCTGAAGCAGAAGGCCACACATTTGATACATAACCGTATCCCCAGCTCTACGTTCGGCAGTTGAGTAACAAAGTCGGCCAGGCAGGGCAGGTTTCTGATTAACTCACCTCTCTGCGGAGAGGTGGAACAGCCGGATGTGCAGCACGTCCGAAGGAAGAAAATTCAAGCAGCCTCCCACTCCTCCTCCTCCTACTCCTGCTACTACTACTACTACTACTACTACTACTACTGCCACTGCTGCTGCTACTGCTACTACTACTACTACTGCCACTGCTGCTGCTACTGCTACTACTACTACTACTGCTACTACTACTACTACTACTACTACTGCTACTACTACTACTACTACTACTACTACTACTACTACTACTACTAGGCTTGCCTGGCGCCTGGTAGTTTGGAGGTGTTCGAAGGTAAAAAGTATAGGTTTTTACAGGGTTTTGTGAATATCGCAGTTTGGGTACGTTGTCAAAAACTACTTTGTTTTACTAAGAATTACACTTTTGGATGACGATGATGATGCTAGTGATGCTACTGATGATGATGATGATGAAGATGCTGAGAATGCCAACGATGTGCATGTAATTGGAAGCCAATATTAGGACTGAGGACTACGGCCAGTAGTTCGAAGGTCAAAAGTATCGGTTTTTACAGGGTTTTGTGAAAATCGCAGTTTGGGTACGTTGTAAAAAACGACTTTGTTTTACTACTAATTACACTTTTGGATGACGATGATGATGCTAGTGATGCCCCCGCACCAGTGGAAGAAAATGCTTCGAAAACACACGAAAATCGAGCCACACCGTGGGGATTGCGTTTTCGGCAAAAATCGCGGTTCAGCAAGTCGTGATTGACACCCCCACCAAACCCTCCCCTCCCAGTCGAAGAAAAGGCCCCATAAAACGCTCCAAAGTACCGGCACTGCCAGTGTTTTTGGCAACAAGAAAACCATTGCGGTCGACCATGTCGTTATTAACCCCCCCCCCCCACCCCCCCCCCAACCCAAAACCTCCCCGAAACACTTGAAAACAGAGCAAAACACCAGGCGCCAGGAGGCGCGCATGGGTACTACTACTACTACTACTACTGCTACTACTACTACTACTACCACTACCACTACCACTACCACTACCACTACTACTACTACTACTACTACTACTACTACTACTACTACTACTACTACTACTACTACTACTACTACTACTACGACCAGTACTACTGCTGCTGCTGCTACTACTACTGCTCCTACTCCTGCTGCTGCTGCTACTACTACTACTACTACTACTACTGCTACTGCTACTACTACTACTACTACTACTACTACTACTACTACTACGACTGCTGCAAAACTAGTACTTCTACGACGACGACTACAACTACTGCTACGGCTACTACTACTACTACTACTACTACTATTATTACTACTACTTCTGCTGCTGCTACTACTACTGCTACTACTACTACTACTACTGCTGCCTACCCACACACCACACACTGCATACGCATACACAGGCAGGTCGACAGACCCACCGACCAACAGACCGACAGATGGGCACACGCACACACAGGATCACACAGGCACACGGGAACACGGGCACGCAGAAGTGACTGATTAGAACGTGTCTTGTCGGCTCAGATCCTGACAGGTGGAAGCTGCCGAGCTGCAGTACGATGTCATCCTCGCGTCAGAAGCTGTTTACAAGGCCAATCGTTTCTCAAATTCATGTGTGACCTCGCACAGCAGGTATTGCCCTGAACAGCTCCTCCAGGTAGACTTCTACCCTGATCTTCTGGCTTTGCTGGAGCACTTGGCTGCAAACGGCCGGGCGCTGTTTGCGGGGAAGCGCTTCTATTTCGGATGTGGCGGTGGTACAGCATCTCAGTTGCAGTTGCAATCTGACGGGCACCGGTAGGGGAGGGCATCATTCTGACTACTTTGCGTCAGCAGACCCAGAGAAGTCATCGGCCAAGGCTTCCTTTGCCACGGCCTGCAAGGATGCCGGCTTCCATGTCGCGGTAGAAAAAGTCATCGAAGATGGCCGCTCCAATATTCGCGAAGTCCTGCTAATCTCAAAGTCTGCGCAGAGGGCTGCACCCTGCAAGCGGCAGAAGGTCGATGCCGCCGATGCCTGAGAGCTCACCCGACAGACGCCGGAGCCGAAGCTGCCGGAGCTCTCCCCGAAGCAGTGAAGGGAAGGAGCACCATGGCCGCTGGGAAAGCCACGGTCGGGGCACAAGGCACGTGGGAGTGTCCGCTCCAATCAGTACCACAGGAGAAGGAAACTGAAAACCTGCCGTCGCCCTCGCCAAGAGGGCCACGGCTCAAGCACATCAAAGCAGATCGATCCCGCGGCCCACGGCCTTGTGACAGTCACAAGAGCTTTGGATGAAATTCGGACAAGTTTCGTGTGCCCTCTTTTCGGCGTACACCACTGGCAGTATCCCCCAGTAACGCAATGTGGACATGTCGCAAGTGGAGCTAAGCTGACCTAGTTGGGCAACAACGTGACTCATCGCCCCATCCTCGCGCCAATGATCGTGCTCCACGACGTGGTGTCCTTGGTAAACACTCTGGAAGTGGCACACCAACTCGTAAGATCACCATTCAAAAACAAGGAGGCCCACGGAAGTTGGGCATGATGTGCTTTGCCGACATTTTTGGAGGTGCTGGCTGGATTCATGGTGATGTTCTGCAGGTTTTGGCCGCAGCCCTCGTCGAAAAGCCATCAGGACTCCAGTCAAACATCTGAACTTCCAGGAGTTGATTGGTCTCAGCTCTTGCACCAGCGAATTTCGTGAGTGGGTAGCCCGCCCTGATCAGCGGCTTTGCAAGTATGTCCTGAACGTATGCGAGGCGGCAAGGAAAAAGTTGGCATTTCGGGGCCGGAGTGGTTCCTAGTCCTCGGCGCGTTTGTGTCTGTTCAGCCGATCAACTGAGGTTGGCGAGACTGCTCTCTCTTTGTGGAGCCCATTCTGCGGTGCTCCGGTCCAGAGCAACGTGCGTAGCTGAGTTGTGAAAGCACAGGACTCTGAACCGGCAAACGAACTCTGCTCCATCAGCTCCATCAGGCTGCAAACAGGTGTGCGCGTGGGCAGTGAGTACCACGGGGATACGGCCCGCTGCCTCACCGTACTTGTGTACATTGCAAGACATTGCAAGTGTTTGATACCTGTCTTGCTTGAGGGCTGCCTTTAACGGCTGCGGACGCCGTTTGCTCGGTCTGCATCTGCGTTCATGCTTCGAGCCTCTGGACCTGGACAGGGTAAAGAGTTAAATCTTGCATCTTCAACGTATGGTTGAGGCAAGTGCCGTTCATCAGGTTTCATTGCAGGTGGCTTGTATAGTCACTGCAAGAACATTGATGGTCGCTGAATGGAAACGCCTCATGAAGTCATCGTGAAGATCCTTATAATACGTTCACCACTTGGAGACCCACAACTGGTTTCTCATCGAGGGAGACGTCTCAAGTCCCTGTTTCCAGCACTACAAGGCTGAAAAGCAATTTGTGGAGCCCTTCATGCTGTAAGCCGAGGTCAAAACGGACGGCGTGCCATTTGCGGCATTGTGCTCTCCTGAGGACACCTGGGACCTCCCATGGCTCTCTCAGCCGGCTTTGCCCAGGCTGTCAGCATGACGAGACTCACCGCCGGCCGATGTGCTCCTTCCACAGAACTCCACAAACCTTCTCTGACTCTGAGAGAGAGAGAGAGAGAGAGAGAGAGAGAGAGATGTCCAAAAGCCCTGGGTTTTGCCTCCTCTAAGGCGGGGCCTGTGGCGCAGGTCGATGTTCAAAACTGCGAGGAGGCCAAGTTTGGGTTGAAGCGCCTGTTGGGTGCCAGGATGTGGCAGGAGCGGGCGGGATAGATTGCCAGGTCACACAGCGGCTGGCCGCACAGCTGGATGCCACGCACTCAGCTTCCGTATATGCAGCGGGGGGATGCAGTGGGATTTCATTGTGATGTAGATGGGGATGGACAACAGACAAGTAGTCTGAAACCCAGAAACGATGCCAGGCAAACATCCTGTGAGGAAAGGTGAGAGTACATAAGTATGTGATCCGCAGCAGTCGTGAGGACATTGCCGTCAACATGTCGCTTTCCACGAGCCTGTGCCTCAGTCACGAACTCAAACCGCATGACAGATACCCAAGTTGTCGGTGAAATGTTGGCACGTTTGCCCGCGGCAGAACATCTCATGGACGCACATTGAGACGTGAACTGGCGGCAACCCATTAGCCACCCACGAAAAATTCCCGGGCATGTAGCCGTGCCGCACAGACAAGCTTGCAGCATTGCAACACTGTGAAGGCGAATCCTCTTGCCATGCCTGGTAAGCCTCTGCAGAACAGCGAAGATTCTGAGTCCTGGGCGATGTCAATGTAGGGTGCCCCTCTTCGTGGGCTTCCGTCGAATCTCTAAATCTTGCCTACACCGGCCCGCGTGCAGACCACCGAAGCAAATAAATGCTTCGAAGACATAGCGGACATCGATCTTACAATCGGTCTCAGACCCCTTAGTCGGCCCTACAAGGTTGGGGCGGATGGGATGGTGCGGCCAGGCCAGCTCCGCTCCTTCTGATGGAGGCGCCTCAGAGGGCCTTCGAGACGAGGCTAGGCCCACTCCCCTAAACGCTCTGAAAGTGCCCTGTTGGAAGGACCCCAGAGTGGTCCTGGCCTGAGGGGTTGGAGAATGGTGCTTCTTTGGCTTCGCCACACAGAAAGATTAGAAAGATTTGCACCGTGCCCTACTACGTCTGGAAATCCCTTGAACGAAGCACCACACACAGTTACACAGCTGCCACAGCGACAGATCCGAACTGTCCTGGACTTTTACATCTGGACCTTTGCGGTGCTGCTGCCTCAGTTTAGACCTTCTGAGAGCTCAGCCTTTCAGAGCCCGCATCAATGCCTGTGGATTGGGTTTGAGAGCTTGAGTTATACGTTCAGAGTCACGATGTAAGAGCTCGGCGCATGCAGTGTGAACTTGCACCAGCTTGCAACCTGCGAAGTCTTGCAACAGCTCTGGGTGCCGAGGCTGGGTTTCATTTACCTTCCCTTCCCTCTTCTGGTCGTTCTCTGTCATCAGAGCCTTGGCAGCAGGCATCGGGCCTGAGCAAGTTAGTGAGCAAGTGGTTTGAAAACTAGGTCACTGACCTCCTGCGCTGGCCCTGCATGGGATCTATTGTGACACTTGGTTGCATGATGTCGATATCGGGTGCATGCTTCATCCCCCTGTGTACAACTAAAACCTGGTTTACTTGTCAGCTGGAACTGCGGGTTGTAGCTACGCCCAGAAACCAGGTGGCATGTGTACCCCATTTTAGGTTCTAGAGGATTAAACGTAGAAAATTACACAATGTAAACATGGGGGTGCCTCCTGCTTGGACATGAACATCTAGGCGAGCAATGCTGTGCTAGTCCTTTCGAAATCAATCACATCCGGCTGCGGCCGCATCAGTATCCAGTATAGGGTCAACTCGACAAATGGCGTCATGGGCTTCTGTGCCCAGCACTGTTTGCAATCTGCAAAGTCAACGGCAACATGCGGCTACGTTACTAGAATCGACTGTGATGATAGGTCGACATGTCGGATTCTGCTGTTGCCCAGCACTCCCTGCGAGGTTGAAGTCATGTCACTCAAATGTTTGGCCATGTGATTCTGCCATCATGTTCTTGTGCGCATTCTCATCCCTTTCTTGATGTACCTCCAGAGCCTGCTGCGGCAAGTTTTGACTACATGTAGGAGTGTCTGTGTGTGTGTGTGTGTGTGTGTGTGTTTAGCATTGCATACGAGGCTACAGAACACACAGCTCCAGCTCGCAAATAAACCCGGATTCAGCGGCCCCCCCCTGCTTTCCCTTTTACCGTCAAGGCCCGTGGCGCCGGGGATCCACCAACGCGGGCCAGCAGTACGCTTGACTTTTCGACTGCTGGTGTTTGATTTGTTTTGATGGTTTGCATGCCAAGTATGTTCTCCATGAGGAACTACGTGGCTCTCGACCACCGCTAAGACAGGCATGGTTGCTTCTTTTGGAAAAGCCAGCCGGAACGGTCCTAGCCATGCGCCGCTGGCAGTAATGCGTACAACTCGCAATAAGATAATATGTGGTCCAGCTTTCGTGCCTTTCCGGTGTCCAGATGCCTGCAGGCTTGTCCCGTGGACATAGAGTTCGGCATTGCCACACGCGATGCGGCTCATGTGGGAAGATTAGGTGCCTGGAACACTTGCGCGTCCAGCGGCGACGCTTACCGGAGAAATGTGCCTCTCGCACCAAAGAAGTGCGACGGCGCTGGAACATCGAGAGCGGATGGCCGAATTCCAGAAATGTAGACCCGTGCAATCGTGCCATGCTGGGTAATTACAGGGATTAAGCTAGGTTCGTAGCTTATTGGATGACATCGGAGTCTTGGGTGGAACCAGGTAATCATTGGCTGATTGGCACAATCTTGTTGATGGATGTGTGCGTGCTGCCATTGCTTGGTCAAATCGAAGAGTGTTGTCGCGTAGCATCCCCGCTGTGCGTGACAGCAGACACCTGACTGCAGTTCACAGTCGTCAGCCATGTTTGCCAAGCTATCTGTTAGGGGGTCAAGATGCTGTACTGTGCCACAGCCGTTGTTTCCATCTGTTACTACTCATACTGCCAAAACAAGATCACTGGCACTCTTCTGACATGAAATCGCATTTGTACATCCCATTCTTCATGATACGTTTGGCCGTTCGTCAGTGCGCGAGGGAACCCTACCCGTCTTGTATTGGCACTTCGTTTTGGCTTGTTCGTGAGCTGGCCTGCTGCAGGCAGATAGCGTTTAGCTATGTGCCATTTTTCATTTATAGGAAAAATGTGGAGGAAACTGCGCTAAGATGCTGATTACTGTTGGTTGTGCGAACAGATGGTGGACTTGTGCAGACGTGTGTGGCTCCGGCAAGCTGGCTGATAAAATGCCCTAGATGTAGCCAGGAGCGGAGAGTGTGTTGACATGACGATAAAGGCCACGAGGGGATGGCACACAACTCCGGGCATCACTGCGGGGCTTTGCTCCTCAGGGGGCTAGTAATGGTAAGATGCTAACCAGGCTTTTCTTCATGAGCCTGTCGGCAGTGAGCGAAACTCGTGGACACGATGCGTCTTATTGTGGCTCGCATCTTTCGACCCGAATCTGTATGCCACTAACAAGCCTTGAAGCACTGAGCTAAGAGCTCCTCAGCCGAAGTGCTCCGCCCAGGATGCTCTGGGGCTTGCCGGAGGGCCCGCCTGCTGCTTTGGCACCAGGCTCTCGCCGCGGCTCGGAGGCCCGACATGGCCCGACTCTCGAAGCATAGCACGATGCGGAGTGGGCAGAGCCTGCTCTTATTGCAGGCTGCTTCAGAGCACACCACTGCTGTAGCGCTTGCGGGAGGCCCACGGGCACGGGAGGAGCGGAGTCCAAGTCTTCATCAGAGCCATGGATGTCACCGAGTCACAAGAGAACGTAAGAGACATGGTCAAGATCGTTGCTGATCTGCCCGGACAAACAACAAGAGAATCTAGGAAAGCCGCTTCAAGGAGAAGCGTAAATGCAGACAGTGCTCGGGAGAGGTACTCGAAACGAGGATGGCGCCAGCTTAAGGCGGCCTTCCTCACGCTGTTCGCAGGGGCCCCGGGGGCCCTGAGATCCGAAGCCCCGCTTCCATGGCGGTGCCGTTTGCAATTGCGAGCAGTCTGGTTTTGTGCAAAGCATCTTCTTTGCACTACTCAGGTCTTTCGAGACGACGGCAGCAACGTCACTGGAGTTCGCTCCATCGCACAACTCTGCGAGAGAACCAGGAGCCTTCGCTTGCGCACCGGTTCGTGATTGCCACATTTGGGTGGGGCCTCAGCGGAAGCCAAGTCATTCCGCAGGTCTCAAGCTTGGACCCAACGACTTCACATCTTTGACTTCGGAACGTACCGTTTCCGATGCGCAAACATCCTTCATGTCGGGGCACCCAGATGCCTCGTGCTGGACAGACATTTCAGTATCTTGTGTGGAGACAAGGATACCTCCACAATGGTCCAGGCTTGAGCGGGGCACTACAAGGCCGTATCGGCGTCCCTAGCCTCACTCTCACGACTCAAAACATGACGTCTTGTAAGTTTCCCCTTGTCGTACGAATGCTTCGTGATGCAGGACGTCGCAGGGCTCAGGAAACTTTGAGCCCACGGCATCTTCGGATCTTGTGTGGCTCGGCCTTCCAACGATGCCCAGCATCATGGTCTCCATGTCGCACACCAACCGCGCTCCTGCTCGAGGCTTTTTCCGAATCCTTCTCACGCACTACCTGCACCTGCACTACTACCACAGTCTGCACTACTTCATCAACATGACCTTTCAAATTTAGTCGGAGGTGCCCTTCGAGTTCCGTTTGAGCGTGTCGGCGTGTCATATTTCCTGTGACAGTGATTCGCGACTGACTTAGACACAACAAACAAACAGTGCGTGCTGATTCGATTCTGGACAGTGCAGCAGTTGTGCATGGCACCAGGCCCATTCAGATGCTTCAAGCATGATCAACTTGAGTTTCTCGCAATGTGGGTGTCTGCCAGAGTCTGTCAAAATCTGCTGCTTCTGAAGATGCACATGTACGAAAAGTTGGCGGACGGAGGTTCAGATGAACTGGGCGAACGCTGGAACTCCTTCAAGTCGTTGTTCTTGTTTCCACCACAGTAAATAGTTATTCTAGTTCACGCGATTTCAGGTAACTCCATCATCCATCGACCCAGGACGTTGCACATGGTAGATTGGATGAAGATGTCGTTTTCAGCTTGGGCCGGATGGTTGGATTGGGTGGACAGAGTGGCATGAGTCTGGGCCAGGAGGTTCCGACCCGGAGCAGAGCAACAACGCTTTTGTAGCCAGGGACACCGTGAGTTCATAGATGCATGATGTACCTGCAGTTTCGTTTCTATGTACTTTTACAAAAAGCAAGCAGGTGCATAATTGCACGAATACGTACCTGCACATGGATGTGTATCTATCATGCCAAGTCGTCAGACATCGTTGAGATCGTTGGATTCAGCTGGTTTTGTTCGTCAGGCGCGGCCTGGCTTCACAGGTTTCCCTAAATTGAAATTTCTCACTGGCCTTTAAGACTCTGCAACATGGTGTTGGAATTCCGCAGAGCGATGCTTGAAAGCTACTTGCCACGGAACAGTATCCGCTCGCCGTAAAGCAGAACCCTCGCCCCGAGTCTCCACCACCGACAAAATACTCGGAACGCATTCCCACCCTCAAACTACACCTTTATTGAGCAGGTGCCCAGGCGTGGGTTGCGACTGCAATCTGCGGATCTGGCCACTTCCGTGCGAGGGGCTCAGATTGGGTCTGCCTTGATGGCACATCTTCACAACCACCAGCTGTGGTCAGGTCTCTAAGACCAAAGCCCCCACGAGTCTTATTATCAGCTCCGTGATGTAGTTGTTTCAGCGAGGCATGAGGCATAACAATGAGAAGGAGGACACTCATTTAGTAGCCACGTCAATTTGGGTGTACTCGTAGTGTTCCCGGTAGTTCAGTAGCTCCGTGGAGCCCATCAGCAGCCGACAGTCGTGGCATGGTCCTCTCCTACCTTCTGAGCCGAGAGGGAATAATTCCGTTGATCTCTCGCAGATCACCACAGACAGCCCAACTCATGGACAAGAAGCCGTGCACATGGTCCCGGAATGTCCATCCTGATGGCCTTTTCCAGGCACTAAGTCTTGATGTACAGCCTGTCCCGCAAGGGTCGGCAGCACTCGCACACTTTTCTTCTCTACTCTTGCATAGTTCGCTGTTTGAGCACCAAACCGGGTCGCTGAGGTTGGAGATGAGTTTCACCCACTGCCTGGCGACGTGTGGGAAACTTGCCAGAAGTTCAAGGAAAGCCGTTTCGTCGTTGGTGCCTGTTCTAGCATGTTGGATGGGTTTCTGAGGCCTGTGTCGGCAACGTGGTGTTGCTTCAACGCGAGCAGCAGGCCGCAAAGTATTGGGGCTATTGCAGCTGTACCTGCAACTGCAACATGCCGTGTGGATGTCAAGGTCGTCCTATGCAGGCATGCACCGTTTCCGCAGATGGTTCGTGCTACTTCAGCCGCAAGCATCCCTACCAAATCGGAGAGTCGCAGAGTTTCGCCTGTTATCAAGCATCCATAACCCTGCAGCATTCTGAGATCTGAGTGAGGTTCAATA